AAATTATTGTTTTCTTTATTTACGTTTACCTTTTTAACTGTGAATTTATTCTTCCAGCAAAAAGACGTGTAAACACGTCCCGAAGCATTTTAAGTCCGACATGAAACTGATCACTATGGTAACGGGGGAGTACGCGGTCACGCAAACCCACGTGAAGCCGACATCAGGCAAAGGCTAGACCGTCTCATTTCGCAGCAGTTTTGAGCATCCTACCCGGCCCAGCAAGGATGTGGCCTCTGTGGCCCAGCATGAATTGAGACACAGCCTACGTCWAAACTGCCATGACACATTTTATCCAACTTTTACATGAAGTGGGGGGTTGAGCTAAATAACAATGTTATTGTTAYCAATGGCAAGCATTCTGATGCTTAACTCAGCATGTTTTAGCTACAAAATAGAGGTCCAGTTGCTCTGTCTTTTTATTTATTGATTTTTTTTAGATTTGCATGTCCTGACACTACAGCAACATAATGTTCAAATCGGATTATATTGCGACATGGGATCAATACTTCAGTTTGTTTCACTTTTGTTTATAAAAATGTGTGTATCAAGATTATTACAGCAGAAATAAAAATGAAATGAACTCATATTCTTTAAAGAATGAATTAATTGCTTTACAGCTGAGTTTAGTGGAAAAAGTTGACATAATTTGGCCAACACTTCATTTTCTGCTAGACGTGCCTTAGAAAGCATCAAAAGTAACTTGCAAAAGAGTTTGAAACCTTTAAAAGAAATGTCTGAACAYCGATGTCATTGTGTTAGGAATAGAATGGAGAAAGATTCAGAGTTMTTGCAAAACACATCCGTGTCCTCAGAGAACATGCGTCAGATGTTTTAAATGTAGTTTCATGACTGATCCATGACAGGATCCTGTTTTCAGAGGTCAGAGGGTGCCCTAATTTTAAAACTCCTTTTGATGATGCTTTTAACCCTCTGGTCTGAGCTTTGCTAATAATTTCCATGCTTTGACTGAACAAACGGCTTTGAAAAGAAATTCTTTTGAAGTTTTGCACACTGAGATGTGGTTCTGTGAAAAGCTTATGAACAATCATCATCTTACCTGTTGCAGACAGCTAGTTTGGAAAAGTAGAGTTTAAGGATACACAGGGCCCAAACCAGATTTATTTTTTGCACGTATATTCATATCTGATTTACACTCTGAACATGACAAATGTAAATCAGACCCAGGTCTTTTTTAGACTAAATTTACCACATATTCAGTGTTTTTCAAAGCAGCCTCAGTCTAAACTGCCATGACACATTTTTTTCCAACTTTTACATGAAATGGGGGATTGATCTAAATAATAATGTTATTGTTACCAATGGCAAGCATTCTAATGCTTAACTCAGCATGTTTTTAGCTACAA